ATGATGAAGTGCTTATATTTAAAGATACGCGTACCTTGTGTACATCAGACTTGCCTCAAGTTGTGACTTATCAACAAAGGCTATTTAATTGTAACAGAGACATGTATTTGCCGCGATCTGGCGTCGACGTCTGGCAAGCTTATGTCAACGAACTGAATACACTCACAGATTCTACAAGATGGAGAGTACCATCCACCAGGCCAGAGACAGATAATATCCTACAAACGCCGTTACCTGCAAAAAATCAAGCGTTGAAGTACGTTAAAGGCTCATACAAATCCCACTCCGGCACCACTTCTTCCAGTGTGAGCAGCTTAGAAGATCACGGCTCTAAACCACAGGTTTCTGTTGACTCCCCTGCGCAGAACAGTCTTATCTTCATGGACCCGGCCAGCCAGCGCCACCGTTTGGGGCACCGCTCTGATTCACATGCAAGCGCATCTTCGAGAAGGTGATTCACCCACGAAATCTACATTTCTACACTAGTTAATTGGCTTCACAGATGTATAGTATCTGTAAAGAAGGATTGTTAAACACACTGTGGCCGCATCAGATTGACAATGTGAAACTTTTCGATAATCGTTACAGAGGAGCATCATCGCACAGTCGTGAGGTTCAGCTTCAGGACGCTAACACAATAACAGCTGCGTCCCAGCATGAGCTTCGAGTAGTAGACGACGATGTGATCAATTTCAATTTCGAGGAAGAGGCTCAATGGCAGAACCTTTACCATCCGCCTCTTGACACCACCAACCTGAACCAGATGAGCCAGCTGCCGTCTACCAGCTTTGAAGATGTTAATATGTTCAACGCTCCGACCGTTCGAAATGAGCCACAACTCCCCAGGCAGAGTACCACAAGCTCAATCTCAGCGCAATCACAAGGCGGACAGTTCAAGTCATGGCAGCATACGCGAATCCTGGCGCCGATGATACAAACGGACCGCACCAATCAGCAGCTTCTCCGTCGCTGTATTGACTTGATGAAAACTATTCCTAATTTACAGCAGGGGGCTGAAAGGGAACGATCACCTGTGATGAATAACACGGACTCGCAGGAACGGCGAGTGACCTCGAGCTCCAGTCCTGAGGCTGGTCTGCCGGACATTAGCATCGCGCCAGACCCATTTGACCAGGTAGACAATTGCTCACACATCTGCAGTTAACAAACGTTTTACTAACTGATTTATCCTCGATCAAGTATGATGACAGTATGTCAAGAGTTGGCTGGCCCAGGAATCTCAGATCATCGTTTCCGTGACGCAGGTTGCTCCATCGAGAGGAGGGCACCGGCCTGCTCGTGGCGGTTCAAGGATCGCAACCATGGGTCCTATCCATGCTGGCCACGATGAGGCAGCCATGAACCACATGATGGCAGAGAGACGCCGCAGAGTGAAACAAAAGGAAAATTTCTCCGCTTTGAGGAAATTGGTGCCCATCATTTCCAAGGTATGAATTCTCTTGCGTCCATGTCTCCTTGCTTGCCTGTGTCGTGAAATCCTGCCAGTTCGGAGAAGCATGCGTTCTGTTCTCTGATTTAATGGTGCGATCGGGGTTTTTCAACAACAGGCAGACAAAGCTTCCATACTTGGGGATGCCATTGTCTACCTCAAGGACTTGCAGAGACAAATTGAAGAATTGAAAGAAAGCACGGCTGAGACTGAGAGAAGGTATGAGGATTTGAAGATATCTTACCAAAGCTTGGAGCAACGCAACAAGGAGCTGGAATTACTTGCAGGGGGCGCCAACATGCGGCCGGCAAGGTTACATTCCATGCAATCCTTTTGAATCACATAATTCTTTAATCCGCTTGTACATCCTATTTCCACAGCAATATTGATTTTGCGTCTGGATATTGAATGACTCCAAATTAGTAAGTGGGTCGGTAAAGTAGCATTGGAAGTCCCGGGGATAACCTTTCCTTGAAGTCCGCCTTCGAGGAGTTTACCTGTAGAGACGGTTAGGACAAGAGAAGTTAAGTTTGCCAGAGTATGACATGAGAGAAAATAGATAGAATTTACCTTGAGAGTAATGTGTGCAGGTGGCAAATTTGCAATCAATTTTGTACAGACTTCAGGTCAACTAGTTACTTTTAATTTAGCCTGAAAGTTGAGATCCTCTCCCCATTCTGTGAAACTGTTTTTCTACATACTGTACTAGTAATGTATGAAGTTGCTGAACATTACTAATGTCATCGTCTTGTTTTTCTTGTTGTATTTTTATAATTCCAGCTTTTCTCTAGAGTTGGGGCTAAGTTGTCGGTACATGTGACTGAAGTTTTAGAATATGTCTGGTCTGCGCTTGAGACATATTCTAAAATAACATGGCACTGCAGCCTTGGTTTCGTGCAACAAAACTTGCTGGTCACTTAGTCTGGGTTGACTCTTTGCAAACTGTGTCGGTTTTGCAGCATTCCTTATCCTTAGCTTCTGCTGCCTTCAAAAAGGGAGGCTTTATGATACACAGGACTGTCCTGATGAACTACATATCTCCAGCACAAATATAATATTCTGAACACAACCAGACTGACCATATATGTACACTTAGGCTAATCTTGTTACATTCATCACCAGCAGGGAATGTACATTGGAACTTCTCAGTATCCCAACTGTAGGCTTAAAGAAAGAAATTCTACAGTTATTCAACATAGTAACCAGGATTCCAAAACCAGGTTTCCCATCTCCTTGAAATCCTAATCAGAGGGGATAAAGATTGGAAAGATGTGTGCATTACAAGAATTTGTTTGTTCAAACACCAACTACAATTCTTCCTCTCCTTCAAACTACCAGTAGCACATGATAATGTCATGTTGAAGTTGAATTGTGGGTTGTTGAGGAGAGGGTGAATGCAAAGCATGGCATTGAACATGGGTCTCCTGCACTGAAATGGAAGGCAACTCTGAGCATGCCATGCAGTACTTATGACCTGTAACATGAATCAGTCATGTGTGTGGAGGACTCTTGGTGTGAGCATTATTCAATGTGTCCTGCCCATTCCATCACTCACCCTGTAAATAACTAGCTCATTTCACAGTGACTGTCTTGGATAGTGGAGTTTCTAGGATTTTGGAGATCCACTCATGAAGCTCCATTAGTGGCAGATAGTAGAGTATATGGGATTTATCATATGACAAAATACAACAAAAAACTTTCTAGGATTGTTGGAGGTTTGAAGCTTATGTTTTAATAGTTCCTCATCTTGTTATTGTTCTGTAGATCTTTTAGATCTCCAATTTTAGTTTGAAGAAAAGATTAATGGATTTTATGAAATCCCCTTTAAAAAGGATTGAAATATATAATTTTGAGGTGGATGGTCATCATAAGTTATATCAAAATCTCATAGTGGTTTGAAATAGCTGATAGACTAAATTCTTGCAATTTAAAGGGTAATAGTTATTCAATCCAATAGTCAATTAATTGAAATTAAAAATTAATTTAAAGGATTTCATTGAAAACATTGATATGCAATAGACAATGTTTGTAGCATATGGTCATCCAACTCCTTTGTTTAATATAGAACTATTTTTTAGGTTTTGGCAGTTATTTCTTAATTTTTATTTATTTATTTATTTATTATTACTATTATTAAGATTCATATATAAATATATTTATTTTTTTACTAATTTAAATTTTTAGTTAATTTTAAAAAAATTATGCAATTAAAAAAAACAATTGTTAGTTAGACACCTTTCTTTTACTATGTAGACTCCCCTTTTTACTTTATGGACACCCTTTTGTGCCACATACCCCCCTCCACACACACACACAATAAAATGCTTAATTATATTCAGAATTTTTAGAATAAAATTCTAATAAAATATTTTCATGCAATGGCTTATGGAATTTTATATATTTACTTATTTATTTTATTGATTTAATTTAAAATATGTTCATAATGTACTTTACATAATTTTTTATTCACTGAAAAAACTGTTTAATCTATTTAAATATTTTTTAAAAATAAATTTATTATAAGATATTTTTTAAAAATAAATTTATTATAAAATATTTTATTATAAATAAGAATTTTACTAAATGTATAGAGTGGTGTGTGGTACAAGGGGTGTTTACATAGTAATAGGGAGGTATCTGCCTAGCAGTTCTTTAAAAAGATGACAATGGTAATGATTTTTTTATTAATATAGACAAGTAAATTAAGAAATTAAATTGTTTAATTTTAATAGATAAATATTTTTAATTAATTTAATTTTAAAATATTAAAGTTTATCAAAATAAAATTATGATTTAAAAAGTTAAATAAATGATATGGCATTATTAAAGTGATGTTATCATCATTTTTATTTTTATTTTTATTCTTATGTAAATATAAAAATAGATAAATACTGATATATTTATTTTATTCGGTTTAAATAGATATTAATAATATTAAAATATGTTTTATAAATAAAGATTAATTATTTGCATAAAAAACTAAATAATAAAGGCTTAATTAAATAATAAATATATCCCTCTTAAATTATATCTCTTTCCTAATATTTTTTTGCTTATTTGATAATATTTTCTCAATTATTATTATTATTATTATTATTATTATTGTTTTTATTTTTAGGTTAAAAACTTACAACCTTGTTTTTTGCATAATTAATAAAAAAAGTGAAATTTTATAATTCAAGTGAGAAGTTTTTAGCAGCCATATGTTCATTCCACACCTTTGAGTTTCTTTTTGGGTGAGACCAGAATTTTTGAAGATGGGCTTGAGGATGAATGCCAAGGAAAAAAACCACACAAATTTACTTGGACTTTCCAAGAGGAATTGCACAAACAATTGCAAGTTTTGAAGTCACAAGGAATAGACTCTTGTGCACTAAATCTCATGCAATAATTATTTATCTCATTTAAAAAAAAATCTTATTGTAATTTTTTTTTTTTCAAAATCAATTGCTGTAATGCATCAAGACTGTAACAAATAATAGCCAATTCTAAACACCTAACAAAGAAAATACAACTTTGAATATTACTATAGTATTTGTAAAATTTAGATGATGTACTATAAATAAGGACATATAACAAAAATGTTCAAAGACATGGCATCAATTATGATACTTGATTTGGAAAGAAAAATAACAAAATCAATAAATTCCTACCTTGGCTTTTTATAGTCATTGTACTAACTCAAAGATACTCAACCTCTAAGCAAATTTACTCTTTTATATCATGATCTTTTAAAATAAATCTTATATGGTATTTTAGCATTCAATATTGGTTTAGTTTTAATAAAATGTTAAAATTATCTTCCATTTTTTGCTGAGACTTTTGTCATGAAACTCAAGAATTTCATCTATTGTCTCATAGTCTGCTCCAAAAAGAACACTTGTAGGCCGCACATGGAAGATGACTACAATGTTTGGAGGGCAAAGGTAATTGACTACTGCCCATTTCCTTACATAGATACTTCCACAATTATTGGCAATGATAACATGAAAGAGATCGAGGGAGACAAATAAAAAAAACCCTTCTACAACTATAATACATATCTTATGCACCATATATTATCTACATGCTTCTTTATGCTCTTTTATTTGTCAAATCACCTAAGAACTATGAACTTTTATAACTCCACATAAATCATAAAATTTCTATCTACCAAGGTTATAAATTATGCATGATAAATTTTTAATTATTATCCTTATTTATTATATATTTAAAATGATAATAATAATTTAATTTTTGTGCACATGCCAATTTTTTTCATAGTTATTAGATTTAAATATTATCTAATTCTATTTATTATTTTATGAT